CCACATTCTTCCTCTTCTGCCTTACTGACATGAACACCTATGTCTGCAATCGAAAGCTTAACTCCTCCCGGTTACACCTTTGCTTTCAACCCCAGTGGCGTCTCGACACCACCTGACCACTTGCTCAGACCGCGTGGGCCTTTTCGTGCATGCTTCTTTCTGTGCAGCCTTTTTACAGTTCTATGAATTCCTTTCCTGTTATGAACACTTACTTGCTTGTACCAGATAACAACATGATCCCACGCATCCCCTCCACCCACCGACGGTAGTAGGGGAGATTACTGAACGTCGGATCAAAGTGCGTCACTGCTAAGTTCAGAGGTAGCGCTAAGAGGCTGGGCACACCGATGCCGTGAGGCGGATCCCAAAACCACCGCAAAAGTGGGCAAACTATGGAATACTTTAAAAACCTGCATGATGTCATATGACAAATATCTCATCCTCCACTGAAGTCCAAATCTCAAATCACATTTTTTTGTTCCTCTAACATAAAACCATACCCTACTTAAGGGTTTCAAGGAGTAAAGCTATACCCAAAAGCACCTTCATGAGAAAGAGGAACAAAATGGGAAGAAATTGGTTAAAAGATACAAAGGTTAGGGAAGCAGTGTGTTAGTTCTCCTTCCTTATCAGGACACCATTTCATTATTCAGTAAAAACACTGCAGATCTTGACGCCCACAAACGTCTCCATTCCGCCTCCACTTGCATGTGGCACCTTGTAGAGTTCAAACGGACAAAAGCTGAACAAATTAAGTAATTTTTCCCCCTATTTGACCCCCTTCAAGGACTGTAGAGCCGGCGAAGAGGAAAATTCTTCCATTTTGCAACATGACTTTTGATTAGGACATTGGGAATGCCTGCAAATGATGGTTTGCACGCATTGTATGCCCAGGATGTGGCCCACTCCACCGACGCGGTAATCTCCATTTCAGTTTCTCCTACCACCCCTCAATACCTACACTTGTCTTACAAATTTGTAACCAATCGAGAATGGTTGATGCCGTTTAAGTAGGCCTCTTAAGATGGCACTTTTTCCGAGGTTTTCGAGCTTTTATGCCCAAAGAGGAAAGCGAGTCATACACACCTCCATCGTTTGGTAAGAAATTGCCAAAAACCTCAAGCGCAGTTGACCGCACTTATGCGAGTTAATTAATGCTAAATGCACAAACCTTCACTTCACTTCACAAAATAGGCGGTGATAAGAGCTCCGCATTGCTTTCCATTGTTCCCTGGAGGAGTAAGAGCGTAGCCCTCGTTCATGCTGCTTACCTAGTTTTTGACTCACGAGGCGTGCAGCATTTGCACTACAGAATTCTCCTCCTTTTCATAAGTAAAAGTCTATAAAATAACATTTTTGCCTGCTAACTCTCAAAAAGTTGCTGGCGCCTAACTACTACTATGTGCAAACTGAATGATCTCGATCGTCCTTATCTCCCTTCGCCTCTTTCTTAATTTTCCTACCTTCCTTCTTCACTTCTTCAAATGTCTGCATAAACAATCAAGATTGCTAGTTCAGAGGATAGGACTGTCCTCCCCTCATTATGAAAATAGGAGGTGCTTTATACCTCGTCTAGTGTGCTCTCCACTACTAGTGGTTTGGGTCCTCTGTCTCCTCCTGTTGGAGCTCTTCGAAGACCAGAACGTCTTTTGCCTTTTTCGATCCTAGCTTCAATGGGACTGAAGACTTGAACTTATCCAATGGTCACCATTTGGGAACGAATCTTTATGCTAAAAACTGAGTATGTATCCAAGGATAGCTTTTGGTAAAAGACCGTAAAGAAGGTTGATTTTAGGAATTCGGTATTACAGGAGCCTCTTTTCATTTCGCCTATGCTTTATGGCGAAAACCTCGCCTGCTCATTTTATCTGATTAGGTCATTAGATTAGATGGCAAAGTTGGTCCGTTTTATGGCACTAACTGTTTCAGGCCTGTTACTCTGTGCATACCTCCAAAAAGGATTTCACCCTCCGTCTCGTAAAGGGCTCAAGTGTCGTGCCGTGACCCGGAGACCATGTCGTCGTGTGGCTAAACGAAATCTCAAATTATTATGCAATCGTACTTCACATAGCTATCGAGTTGACAAAGCAATTAAATAATTATTCAGATGTTATACAACTCTGTGTGAAGGGTCCAGCATACTCCTCTTCTTCCAAAGCCGTTATTGGTTGCCTAAACCGATTTTTGGCACAGAGTTTGAAGAATTATGTAACAATTTTTGTATTAGATGTTATTGACGCACGTCCGATCCTCTTACGAGAGAGTGAGTCCATTGTATTTTGCTCTAGCCCATTTGAGAGACTACTGATTTAGGAAGTGACAGAAATAAGCCTACGCAGAGGTAGGCAAGAACTGACATTGTGTGACAACTGAGCCAAAAACTTAACTTTTAGTAGATATTCATTTTTAGACTTTGAGTGGTGAGACATTGTTGAGGACGTATTATTATAGCTGAGAAATTCCGAAATCGCTGTGAATAACTTCACTTACTTAAACTTACTTAAACTTATACTTACTTACTTACACTTAAACTCGACTTAGTAAATTCCTGTTTCATAAAATCCTTCAAACTTGAATGCAACAAAAGCCAAGCATCTCAGTAGCTCGCTTTACAAAAAGCTAAGAAGTCCTGTCAAAAGGAGATCGCAAAAAAACACTGCTAGCTGCTACATCAAAGCGAATTTTGACGCTTCTAACTAACTTTGCCTTTAATTCGGCAGCTTTTTTAGGGAAATCATGAAGGCCTCAAAAGGGCTTCCCATTTCCATCAACTGCGGAGAGGTTTTAAAAGCAGCAGAACGCCAGCCTACCCTGCACACACGCACACATGCACCCGCACGCCGGGAATGGGGCAAGAACAACGTGTGTTTACACCATTGTTATCGCTTATCATAGCTCCCTGCATTATTGATCAGCGCCAGACATTCGGTCCACAATGACGTCGCTTATTCGCACACTCCAGGGCTGCAGCCCTATTGGTCGGACGCCTAATCACTTGATTGGTCCAGACATAAAGGGCGATCTTGGCGCGTAAAGAGTGACCTCAAGGTCTAAAGGCACGCAATTTCTGGTAGTTCGCTTGAATAAATTCGTCGTCGGCCTCGGATTTATTGGTGGTAAGCTAGTTTAACATAAAGTTTTCCCATGATATTAATTTCATTTTCCACGCTTTGACACACTTCTTGTGCCCTTCTTTGTGCTGCGAGGAAACGATTATTTCCTATTAGAAATAGCAAAGTATTACAAAATGAGGCACAGGCACATGTGCTCACTATCTTTTGTCATTTGGTTACCCATTCTCAGCCGTAAATTAGGTGGTAGTTGTCCCTACCTATGCATCAGCATAGAGAGTTAGTAGTTCATTTCTTTTAAGATCATAGTACTATGTCCATAATTATCTCTCACAGTCTGGCGTTAATAGTTTTATACAAACTTCAGAAATATATCAGCGAAAGTGACCACGATTTTGATTACAACAATTGGTATATCAGTGCTACTAAATATGGCCTAAGGCATTGCGTTCGCGTCCTAGACATAGAGGTTAACATAAGGTCTACGTTGCAAGAACACCCCCAAAATGACTTGTGACCAAAAACAAACTATTGATGCTGATTTAAAATAAGATGGAGTTGCTTATTCGCCTAGTCATATCGATATTTCCCGATAAAAGCAATGTAGCTCTTTGACCGCCATCTTTCACTTTGCAACCGGGAAATGCGTTTATCCCGATCCTTCAATTCGATGATACAAATTGAAAAGGGCTGTACTAATTAAGGAGTCGTCAGATTTATCATTGAATCTGAAGTCTACCCACAGACAAAAATGGTTTTCGTAGCATTCTTTACCAAATACCAACTCATTAACAAAATTGCTTTCCTTTTTTTAAGTGAAGAGGGATTACAATTGCATCAGATTTTTACCTCTTAAACACTTGCTTTCGCTATAAAAAATATCTAATTTCTCTACGTTTAATAGTTTGTGGGTAAGATTATCCCATCTTATGCAACGCGTAATCTTCATCAGTTTCTAGAAAACGAAAGGTGTTTAACCAGGTGACAGATGCCATCCGCAGTGTTTTACTCTGTTGATCGTCGTAATCTCCAGTTTCGAAGTATTCGACTTGTGTGATTACAGAAATGTTAACCGTGAAGGCATTTAAAAATGGGTTGTAAGCTTTCCTGAGTCTCCAAAACAGGTTTCTAAATAATTGAGGGCGCAAGCTTTACAACGTTTATCATGTGCTTTGGTGATTCTTGACCTTGGCCACAGTAACCTCAATTTCATGCTTCAGAACTGCCTCACGTCAGAATGAATTTTGTACGACAGAGTTGCAAAAATTATTCTACCAGTCTCACATTTCAAACTTCCCTATTTGACATTTACATCTGAAGGTCGGCGTAATTCTGATGTTCTTCATAAACAATAAAATCTTTGTACAAAATTGGGCATTTGTTGTTTTCATTGCAGACGTAAGGGTTCGTTGTTTCGCATGTCTTATAAAGGCGATTTATTGCATCACAAATAGTTGTTAGGTTTGTAAGCAAATTTCTCTTCTGTTTGTCCAATTACGCGCACATCAGCCACGCTTATCCTCAAAATTCAATTAGGATGTCAAGTCGAGATTTTGTATTTTTAGAAACAAAATAACCACTGAGAGCGACTTTTTTGCTCCCAGGATATTTCTGTTAGTATAAAATTAATGCTTCAGCAAAATCAAACGCAGCTTTTAGCCATGATTTTCTAGGATAAAAAGGCATGCTAATTTTTCGCCTTGCTGATAGAAAGGAGGGAAGTTTTGTAAACCGGTGAAAATCGATATTTTTTTGACAATTGACTTGGTGGATTGGGAAGAAAATCTCACATGCCATTCCAACAGCTGACAAGATAAGAATAAAAGCACAGACTTTGCCCTTTCCAAGTTCAGCAGTCGCCTCCTCAAATTAATCACCGTCTAATTGTTGTCTTATTGCTAACTAGGAGGTAAGAGGATACGCAAGAAAATGTCGAGCGGAATTTGTGCAAAGTGTGCAAAACCTTTCGCAGCTGGTTCGATTTTGAACGCTTTGGATAAGCGATGGCACCCAGAGTGTTTCGTCTGCGCAGGATGCAAGCATCAACTGGCTAACCAATCTTTCCACTGCAAGGACGAAGTGCCCTACTGCGTCAACTGCTGGAAGGAAAAGTTCCAGCCCCGCTGCTCGGTAGGTCGATTCGCCAAATGTCATGTGAATTCCTTACATTTTTCAAATTTCCTCACAACAGTATTTGGTAGGTTAGCTTTTAAGATTAAATAATTGCGATTAAAAGCAAAACCCCCGGTTGTGGGGGGAAAGGACTAGCTCATTGTGAAATCGAGCTGTCCACGTCCTCACATGCTACTTTAAATAAGCGTCAACTCGGCCACCGCACCGAATGGTTCAGTGGACGGTAATTCATCTTTATGCTCATTTTGCAGCCAAAGTTGTGCCACTAATTTCCCTTGCTGCTGCTATGCTAACCTTTTACTTTTCTTGTTTTTATTGAAAGGAACAAAGTAATCGAAACAAAAACGCATAGTTAAAGCATATTGTTGGGTAAGATGTTGTATCAGCAAGGA